CCCGGAATTACACGTACACGCTGAGTTACCAGTCAACGAACCCGACGCGCATTAATTATGTGACGTAACGTGTTCCTCGCTCATGAGATAGAGAGAAAGAAAGAGAGAGAGAGAGAGAGAAAGAGTACTATGTACAGATTCTCTCTCCTCTTCATTCTCTTATTTGTCTCGGTGGATCACGGATAAGGGCGTGGTTCTTTTCTTTGGATACTCCCTCATTCTTCCCTCTCCAACTGCTTTCGTTGGCTCATGTAATTCTTTAAGAAGCGGCACCAAGCATGGAGAACATTAACGAAGTGGATCGTCGTTGGTGCACGACTTACATGCTTCCAACGTAGGTATTGTCCTTTAGTAAATGCATTCGTGTGCATTAATCGAGTAGCAACGACTCGTTCGGCCAGTGTGCTCACGCTGCTCGATTAATTCTCGTGTCTCTTAAAATGTAAGAAAAATGCGTTAGACTAAGACTGAAAAAGGGAAACGTTGAAGTCGTTAATGTTCTTATAAATTCAAATAAAAGGGAAAAAAAGAAAGAAAGAAGGAAGGAAGGAAGGAAGGAAAAAAAATGACATGAAACGTCGACGTCCTGACAAGGAGACAACGTCAGGTTGGTCGGTGGCCAAATCGAGTCGTAAGATGCTAGAATTTAATGCGGGAAAAGGTAAGGGTATATTCAACCTCCACGTTAGAGAGGAATAATCACGGAACGAAGGAAGAACTCACGGACGGAGTTCTTGGCTCCGTGGCAATTAAAAGGGTGTGATTTAGGGGCACGAAAAATGTGATCTTAATGGACGAACCACCCGTTTATTTGACTTCTAAGCGCGTGATTTCGCGGAAACCTGAGAGCCTTGGCGAGTCGGCAAAGCAAATTCTTTTCTTCTAAAAGCGTGTTGGCATGCGAGTTGCACCATCGTCATAGCACCAATGCAACCATTCTGGCCATTCATCGTCGGTTAATACTACCACCGTGGAATAGTATCCGATGATCGAGTCTCGCACGTTAAAACGTTTAAAAGAAAAACTCCGAAGCAAACACCTTTCCAAGGAAGAAAGAAAAATTTGTCAAATGTCGTACCAACTGTCCTTCTATCCAAGTTCGTCGTGTTTCTACGAAGTTTCAAAAGCGTTATATAACGGAATCCTTTTCCTCATTGCGCTCACTCTCTGTTCTTAACTTCTCGACGGTGACGTCAGATTTTCGGAGAAACTTCAATGTGCAACGTACATAAGATTCAACGTACATACATACATAGATATTATTATACAACATAGGTAAGTAAGTAAGTAAGTAAGTAAGTACTAACATACGTATGTATGTATGTACCACGTAGTTACGTGGATTGAAACGCGAGCGGCTTGCGTTTGGTCCTGACTTTATTAAGTCTGTACACGGAGGAGGACACGAACATAATCGAGATCGTATTTTATCTCTGGAATACTGTGAGAGATACCACGGAACACTGTGAGAGATAAACGTCCGGTGAAATTTATTCAGAGAACGACGAGAGACGACGACGACGACGACGACGACGACGACGACGACGACGACGACGACGACGACGACGACGACGACGACGACGACGACGACGATGACGACGACGATGACGACTCTTATGTTATCTTCTCGCTCTGTAGATTCATGAAGATAGATTATGATCAATGATGGGACTGTAAGACGGAAACGGAGCAAGGGAAAAATAAATGAAAGAAAAAATATTTAAGGTAGAATGACATACATACTAACCGTAATAAGAATGTTGAAATTTTTCTTCTTTCTGTTATGCAAGCTATCCGTTTAACTTTTTAATGATCATAAACTTTGTCTTATATATCGTACCCCTCCCTCACTCTTATTATGCAAAACTACTGGCACGCCCACCAAGACAAATCCAATTTAACATATACCGCGATCGAGAATTCCTAATAATTCTCGATCTCTTGAGTTTACATACGATTTATTACCGAGTTCGTTTATATAGATTTTCATTAACGACTTTGACGGAAAATGTATGTTTATCTTAGAAAAGATATTTAAAACGATATTACGTTGTACAGATCTTGATGAGAAACACCTCCTTTTCCTCCCGTCATTCTCTCTTTTTCTTTTCTTCTTCTTCTTCTTTTTCTTGCAATTTTATCGCTATATTAAAGCCTAATACTTTATTATTTTCTTCGTTTACTCGTAAAACGACCGAGGAAACTTACCTCTCTAACCCTTTTCGTAATTCTCCCGTTCCAATTAAAACCTACGAACTCTCGATAATTTACGAACGTCTCCTCGTATATTAAATACTTTAATACTGATTTTGCTCCCGTAGTACGTAGTAACTAGTTACGTAGTTATGTATTCGTAGGTATCTTTTCATGTTTGTGAGATCATTGCAAAATTTTCACATTACTCTCTCGGTTATTAATGTTCGTTGCAAAACTCACTAATTTTTTTTTTATTCCTGCCATTCCTTAATATTGCTATTCTCATATAATATTATATTTTTTAAGTTCAAAGTCACGGTGTAAACGTTATTTATATTCCTTTTACACATTCGAAAAGTTTTACGTTCACACTCGATGACTCGTCATTGTCGTAGCGTCGTCGTCGTCGACATCGTCGTCGAGAAGATAACAAACGATATTAAAACGTTGCTCGTAAGACGATACAAGATTCTCTGACGCATAATGTCATCGATCTTGATCCTCTCTCGGGAATAACGACTGCGATTGTATTCGAAGATTCGGGATATGGTTGGTTGGGCCATCGGTGAATAAAAAATCTGGGACGATCTTTTCGTATCTCGATACGTATGTACGATCCATTTCGATGATTTATCGGCGATTGTTCGTCCGAAACGCGTCCGTCACCGTATTCCTTGTACGCAACGTACGATCGTCCTAAATTTTTCGCCGGATGAAATCGAATTACGATCGTATTTATATCGAACCGATCTTTCGACGCTCTTCTCATCGTGATTTTTATTTTCGCGAGTTGAGAAATCCGTTGATTCATCGAACGTGTTAACATATTTACCGCCACACGATTTTTCTTACGGTTCATTTTGTGAGTCAAAGTAAAATTTTCAATATAATAATTATATACGTGTAATATGATTAAATGAGACTGTAATCTTATCAATAGCGCATTTATTTCATTGATGATCATGCATAATCAATTCGTTTATTCTTAACAATTCATGAACCGGCTAAAAATAACAAACATTTGATACAAAAGTTGTTGAAATTTACACAAAAAAAGGAAACAACGTATTGTAAAGACAACAATAGTTAATCCCACATTTTATTCATACCTACTGTTTGAATACGGTTCGTCAGAAAATCTAATGATCATAAAATATTACGTTTGTTAACATTTGGATCAGCATAAATAATATAATTTACATATACTCTATAAACACACGAATGGAACTTTTTTTCTCTTCATTCAGTTTCATTTTTCTATTTGTATAGAAAACAAAAATTATTAATAACGCTCATTAATTAGGATACTTTCTAGTTGTTTGCGTTACTTCAAATTTTTGATTCAGTAACATTCAACTTATAATGATTAATTTTACGATTGTGATAGAAACCCGTTCATTGATGAATATCTACTGTGGCTCCACCACTGACAATGAGAATATAGGAGGTGGTTACAGATAACCACCGTGACAGTCAATATGTTAAACATCACCAAAATGAAAGATTGACGTAATGGAGCTGGCTCAATCGGTAGTAACGAAGGCGTGGCATACAAGATCGGGCACGTTCTTGCTTCTCAACACCCCTTCAACACCCCAACGTAGTCTAACTCCTGAAGAGAACAATGTATCGACTTCGTCGATCATGCTAATGCTGTCATTAACGCCGATTATTGCTTCTCCACCTCCTCCTCCTCCTCCTCCTCCTCCTCCTCTTGCCTCGGCGCCCGTACTTTGACTCTCTTTCTCACTCTCTTACTTAAAGGTTAAGTAACCAGTCCTATGAAGTTTCCATGGACTTTATCGTCTCAACCGACACGCCTTCCATCCAGTTCTACAAGCTCACGCTTACCGGCAGATAATGTAATTCAATCCGCGAACAAATTGATTCTTATGGTATGTACATACTACCTGTACGCGAACCATGTTCGCACCCGAGCCGAGCAAAGCTTTCCAAGAATTTCATACCTGATATACCCTGCCTTTTAAATTCGTCGCTTCGTAATCCATCGTTTAAAAGGCCTCGCGCATGCATTTATTCTCAACGATATAATCGCGTTTGCTTTGCTCTTTATATAACTCGATATATCTGGACCAACCGATCTTCCTTAACTATTTTTGATCGTTACATTTGTACATTAATCTTGTCAGATTTTACTTTACTTTTCGTTACACCTTAATTTATTTCTAAAGTTTAACGATATACGATTTGTAGCTGATCTTAATTCGACTAAGTAACTTAAGAACTTAAAGAAAGTAGATAGAAAAACTCTTACTTCGATAAAATATATTAGAACTAACATATGTATAAAGTACAATCGGGTGAATCGTTTAAACGCAAGAACATGATGATGATGATGATGATGATAATGATAATGAAAATCTTCTTTGGGAAGAATATATTTGATTCGAGGAGACTGATGTAATAGGAATTCAATATTTTACCTAAAGGTTATCGTAAATTGATTATCTGAAATATGAAAGTCATTGACATTTTTTTTTTCTTTTAATTTTTGCATCATACAAAAGTCATAAATCAGATTTAAATAATATGATAAAAAATTAACATAGTGAAATTTATTGGTATTGAATGTGATTGTAAAAATTCTTTTTTATCGCAAAACTTTTAATGAACGCATTAACGTGATGATAGAAAACTCAAACGATATATTATTCCTAATATATAAATAAATAAATATATATATACTAATTTTATTACAACAATATTCAAATATATTTTATAATAATTATAAAATTTAACAATAAAACTCACGATAATTTATTTTCTCGTTGTCTGTGTCGTAGGTGTATCCCGGATGGCGGGGACGTCGGTTACACGATGACGGAATTGCAACCGTCGCCGCCAGGATATCGTGTACAGGATGAGGCCCCAGGTCCACCTTCCTGTCCCTCGGGGACCTACAAGTATACGAACCACGGGCATGACAACGAGACTACCAATTTCAAGGGTGCCACGTCGTATACTCAGGAAGGCTATGGCCTTAAGAAGAGTCCGTCCAGGACGGTGCCGTCTAACCAATACTATCGTCGCAGAAACGACGGCAGGAGGTCAACAGAAAACGAACACGAAGGCAATAACAACGTCGGCAACAAAAAAACAGCGATTGCTGGTTACAACGAGAGTAACAAGAAAAATACTTCGGGCTATAAGAACGACAGCGGGTATACGTCTATTTAAATATTATCTTTAATAATCACCTTCTCGTTAAAATTCGACGTACATCTATAAATATTTATCCTCGATCGAGTAGAGAGAGAGAGAGAGTATAAAATTAAATTTCAAGAAGAATCTAACCTACATATCCGATAATTGCTAGCAAGTGGAATGAACTTTAGATCGGTCGAGTTATATAGTTCATGTAAAAAAGAATCTATTAGAACGAAGAAGAATCGAATAGCCGATAATAGTGAACGACGATTTCTCGTATGTTTTTTATCTCGCAGTATTTGCGTTCGCTTACATAATCCAGGAATCATCGCGGTAGGACGCAATTTGTCTTATGATAATTTCGCTTGTTAAGGTCGTTATTCCAGTATTAATAACATTGAAAGCAACGAGGAAAGAAAAGTCGAGATAATTGTAGGTCGGTCTACGGTCTCCGTCCTGCTGCGCTTCCAGTTACATCGAACTTATTGACTATTCCATAAATTATGCGGCGTGCACATATCCTGGTAATAAAGTGGTTCAATGACACCGTATAAGAACGCGCTCGCTCGCTGTCGGGATTACCACGTATCATAAGTGATTCATCGCGTTAAGCGCTAATAACAAGTCTCGCCGTATTCATTCGTACTTGTTCCCACGCAGAACGATGCAAAGACGTCGCCTTATTGTAGTGTTTATGTTCTCTTCGAAATTGATTGCTTTTCGCACAAAGGCATATAATCGATATTCGAAATGAATTATACGAATTTATCAATTATACGTTTTGCCGGTATTCGCTTGATAAACGATTCGTCAATGACATTGATGATTATACATCGTTCACTCGTGCAAGCTCGATATTTATTATTAATTAATATCCTTTCATTTTTATTCTTCGTTCAAGTCGAGACTCGAACGATACGTAAAAACAAAAAAAACAACAACAAAAAAAAAGAAAGAAGGAAGAAAAGAAAGAACAACACGACAACTCTTGAATCTGTTAGGTATAGCGAGACTCTTGGATTCGACAGTTTCACTCTCGCTCTCAACGAAAGGGACGAAGCTTCGCCACCACCAACACCACCAGTTAGAGACGCATCCAGTCTCAAAGGTGTCTGCTACGGTCCAGGTCATGAAAAATATCCATCTTGGCCGAGCGCCCCTGAACGACATCCCGACGAAGACATTCACAATTTAAGCCACAACGGATCGCACCGTTCCAAATCCTGGACCGATCACACCAATTATCCGAAAGAGAAACCAGCTCAATATACGAGACCTCATACAAAGAGACCTAATCCAGTCTTCACTCAGCAGGTAATTCTATTGAGACATATACTCTCGGCTTTTCCATTCCATTTCGTTTCTTTCTTTCCATTTTTACACATTCAATTACACAAGCCAAAGTATATTTACATAAATCATCAGATAAGTGGTATTCACAGTTTTATAATCCCAAGGTTGTATATGTTATTACCAACAAGTATATTGAAGAATTCTTATCGAAAAACGTCAATGTATATTCAAGAAGAATTTCTATTGTTCGATGATACTTTGATTATCAAAACTTTACTTAAATAATCCGCTCTGTTTACATCAGCCAAAGCATTCGAATTGTTTCTCGTGGCTCATGAAACTCGCTACGTCAGTTGTTTTCAGACCGTTGTCGAGTCTCTTGGTAAAAAGAAGATATCGTTTCGTCGTAATATCAAACCACTATCGTTTATTCGCTGTTAATATCGGGATATACATATAGTACCTTTCGTATATTGAGTCACAATATACCGCAAAACTTTCGTCAATTTTACTTGCTTCGACAGCGTCGATTAAATCTCTACACGCACATTCTCCTTTCTCTTGATGACGCAATCACACGCTAGAAACACCGTCATCGGCTAAAAGTGAATCCACAGTTTGGGATCAAACTATCTCTTTGCTCGACTCTCCGATCGCGTGTCTCTTCAATTAGACTTAGTGCTTTTTCTTTGTTACATTACGTGTACGCTTTTGATTGAGCAGGATGACTAAGAGACATCTTGGTTTAAGATAAAATAAAAACAAGTAAATCGTATAGGCTTGAAAGGCTTTGATCGCTCGAGGAAAGTTTATTGCAGCACGAGCTAACACGAGTGTCTCTCTTACAGCTAAAAACGGTGATGGAACGTTGCGAGAAAATACCAGCGGAGACTTTCGAGTCGCGTAACAGAAAAAGCGTCGAGGATGAGCCACGTTTGTGGCCTCGCGTAGATCGCGAAGGCAAGGCATTAGGAGACGCGGAATACGTAGTTCCATCGCCACCGGAAAGAGAACAACAATCGGCTCAGACTCTCAGCCATGCGGATCTCGAAGCTTACGTTAGAAGCTATCAAGATCCTCAAGTGTCCCAGGTAATTTATGTCGATTCTTCATTCCTAATATTGTAAAAAAATATATACGCGAGTTGATGTTTTATTTACAAAGTTTCTTTATTTTATTTGTATTTATAGGTGGATTTGTATAGAGAAACGGCATTAACGCAGGCGGGTTTGGAAGAATACACGAGGGTCCAACATTCGCAACAGGCCAGTTACGCACAATCCGAGGGCTATCACAGTTATGTTTCCAGCGTTGATTCCACGACCAATACACCTTTTCTCGATAGGTAACCTCAATCTGTTGTAATTTATATAATTATGATCTATCGATCTGTTTCAATGAAATCATCATCATCCTACACAGACTTCGAAGAGATAGCGAAGCCGTGGCGCAAAGATCTACTCCTTCTTGGGAAGATACTTCGAGGGAGGGCAGAGACAGTGTGGTGACAACGTCTAGCGGAAGTGCTTCCAGTAGTGAAACATTAAAATGGCACGGTTCGATGTCCGACGTCAGCGTTTCTAGTGGTTTACCAGCGAGACAGACCTGTACTTCGGACAGGTGGCATCATGGCTCGATGTCCGACGTCAGTAGCGTCAATGGTGGGATGATGGCTCAGAAATCAAGTAACGTATGTCATGAAAAGTGGCAAGATTCTATGAGTGACGTCAGTACGAGCGGATTATCGCCAACGACGAAAGGAAGGCACAGTGAAAAGTGGCCGGACAAATGGCAGGCTTCGATGAACGACCGAAATAAACAAGGACAGACCAGAGCAAGTTTACCAGGAGTTATAGGACACTGCGTGGCTTCTGCCTCTGTCGGAGACATTTGTCAATCATCGACAGTTCGAGAGAACAATTGGCAAGAATCTAGTATAGACGAAGATTCCCTTGATAGATCGCAAAGCAGCCATCCGTGGGATGGTTCTGTTACATTGGACGGTGATAAATATAGATCGGTCTCTCAACCGATGCCGCAAAGTCCAACCAGACAAGTTGTGCCTACGAGTCCACAAAGTCCCGACGGATGGGATCCTCTTCATGGATCCATGTCAGATGTTAGCCAATCGAACGGCATACAGTGCAACAAACAGTTAATCGCTTATAGCGCTAGAGTGCAGACCCCACAACGACATCTTTCAGAGAGTGTATTGTACTTGGATCGCGAACGTAATCAACGAAAATTATATCCTATTAGCACTACGCAGCCGCAGGAATCGCCACAGTCTTCTTCTAGGTAGGTATTAATATATATTAAGTGTTTTTTAATTGCATCGATTTGAAATGTGTAAACGTTCGTATAAACGTTTAATCTTAATTATTATTTGTAGAATGGCACCCACGTCACCGCAGCAGTCTCCATTGTCGGTAGCTGAACGTATAAGCGAGTTAGAGAAGCAACAACAACAGCAACAACAGATGCGTTACACTTATCTGGATCCTGAGAAACGGCATAGAGTTTCTGATCCGACTTTGAAAGCCATTCAAAAGAAAGCACTATTATCTTTTTACGAAAGACATCATCAAGCGTCCTGGAGATCAGAGCCACAATTAGCTCAAGGCTCAGGGACCTCTCCGCAGAGTCCTCCGCCGCAACCACCGCCACGACCTAGACCATCCTCCTCGAGACGAGCCAGTTCTGCGTCCGATTATGCTAGTGGCACGTGGAGAGAGAATTCCGGTAGAGGACAAAATCAAGGAAATTCAGATCTACCGAGTCCTAAGCATCAGCATAGTAACAGTTGCGGCAGTCTTTCTACAGATTTATTGGGTCCGGTTATAGTAGGGCCTGCTATATCCATCGACGATTGGGTCCCAGAAAGACCACCCAAGAAACCTCATCTTAGGAATGTTTACAACGATCGCGTTCCTAGTCCTGATTTACCACCACCGTCGCCACCGACAGTGACAGAAAGCGAGGTCCATGAATGCGACGATCCTTTACCACCTCCGCCGCCCGAACTCAGCGAAGATTGTTATCCAGATAGTACACGAAAAACCAGTTCGGCTCATCATCAACTCGAGGAAGGAAAGATGCACCGCGAGAGATCCTGCGAGCGACACAAATCGGAGAGACATTCGATGAGAAGATCAAAACATAACAACAAACGAGATCTTGATAAAACATCTGGCAAATCCTCGCCGAATTCTCCGACAACGAAAATCTCTTCGCAGGAACAAGATCAGCATCAATTTGTAAGAACTCCAACGACGTTGAAACACGTCGATACCGAAATGATCCATGAAAATGGCATTTCCCCGGGTTTTGCCGCTCACAGAATGATGACAACTGGTCGTTCGAGTTTAAGATATCCTTCTACCCAAAAGCTTATGGTAAACGGTAGAATAGCGAGTACGAGAAGAATATCCGAAGAAAGACCGTTCACAGCTAGACCACCCGCTCAATTACCCGATCTCATATCTCAGCGTTATAGTGATTCTGGAAATCAACGACCAGCGCCTCAAGTTCCTGTTGAACCACGTATCATTCGACAAGAATCGATGAGAGTCGAAAGCACGAGAATCGATGCATCTGGATTACTACGCAACGATTCTGGTCAAAGATTGGAATCGTCATCAGGACAGAGGCCGCAGCCTCAAGTACCCAAGAATACCGATAAAAATGGTTCGACGAATCAATCGAATCATCAACAATCAAGACCAAATTATTTACCTGTCCCTGATAATTCCAAAAGTCATGCCTTTTCTATCGGCAGTCCCGTTAACATGGGATACGAGCTTGGTTCAAAACTTTATTCCCCAGAAGCCAGTCCACAAAAGTATCATGAACCACCGAAGTACATGTCCAATCATTATTCTCGTCACAGCGACACACCGCCAAGAAACTATTATGCTCTACCACCGAAATATATCGACGCGCCGAAACAAAAACCACAGCCTCAGTGTCCTACGGATCGGTACAGCGCTTCATCGCCCAGTTCTCCACCGCCACCTTTAGCACCGAGACAAAATACACCTGGAAGGAAATCCTTGCCTCCACCTCCAAGGCCAGCTCCGCCTCATGCTATTCAAGGGTAAGTTTTATTTCTTATTAGCAAACAATTAATATAATTATCATAGTTAATTATACACGTGAAAGTATTAATTCTTTTTCTAAGATATAACCAAATGCAAATTGATCTTTTCTACTCGTTAAAAAAAGATTTCTTTCGCAATTCACGTTATACTTAGTCGTTCTCATAATTATAAGAAGAATAAGCTCGTAAGTGCAACATAATTGAATAACGAACAACGGTGTCGCTTATTATGTCGTCTTTTAAAACCTGGACCATGTCTCGTCCGGCGATCGATCAATTAAATTAAATATCCCTCATCGTGACTTATTAACGATCCGTGAAAGTCTCTCTAAATCGTTCGAGCAACATTCGACGATCACATCCTATGAACGGGTAATAACTTTAAGCACATTGCCCATCTATCAACGATGAATTACGAATTAATTAGAAATGCTTTCGATTTCAGGATTGTACTGGAATTAAATCAAACTATCCTGACTAGCATTTACTTTCAATTATGTCTATGCAAATTGCGATGATATCTACTACGTTTCTGCGTAATTTAATGATTTCGAGAGTGATTCCGAAATGGAAATTTTTCAAAACTATTATATAAGAGACATAAGAAGATATCATAGGAAATCGTTGATCGTCGTAACGAAACGGAATGAGTAGTAATTTCAAATTGAAGATACAGATTCATTTAAGTATCGTCCAATTTTCGTTCGCGTTTCGACGATGTCGTAAAATCCCTAAGGATCTTTCCTCGTTCGTCCGCAAAAGTCGGATTACGCGGGATCGTTAATTATTTTCTCGTTTCGTTCGCTCAACCGAATCGCATGCATTACCATAAGATTATCATTGCAAATCTAACGGCACCCATTACCAGTCAGATTTACGAGCGTGTGACTTTCTCTGAATTACACCGGACGACGACGGATTTAAATGGCTTTTGTGTTTCGCCCTTTCCACGATCAAAAAAAAAAAAGAAAAAAAAGAAAAAAAATAAAAAATATTCAAAGACTTTTAAATATTCGACTACATTGCCTTACGATTTATTTTCGACGAAGAATTTTCCATACTGAAATATATCTACCTAGTATAATAATACTATTGCGGCGGGTATCGATCGAGACACGATACATTTCGGAAGGTCAGAGGTTAAATTGAGCATGATATCTCGCGAAAGTTAAACGTTTATATTTAAATTTCTAGAATATAAAAGTTTTACAGTTTTCATTGATAGAAACCAACTTTGAGCTTCGACACGTGATTTTTCATGCCACGGAGTTTGATCAACGAAAAGAGAGATTTAAAGTGATCGAAAGAGACGAAAAAAAAGATATCCTTTCTTTCCTCTCCATCCATCTTTCTCTTTGAAAGGAAGAAGTTTAACGATCGAGCAATACTAATCACGATGTCGTTGGAGTATCCAAACTCAGGATAAATACGTGCTACGTACATACGCGGCATACAGGATGTAGACTCGATCTCACGGGATGATAAATCTTTTCACCTTTTCTTTTGTCTTCTTCTCGCTCTGATTGGGTGACTACCTGACTTCTGTAACGGCCGAGCGATTTTTCTCCGACACGCACTCTGACCTCCGCGATACGGTTCGACGAACGAACCGTTCGGCTTGTTTTGACCTTCGACAGGAAGATCTTCGCCAAAGGATCTTCTTATTCTCTCGATCCTTCTTCTTTTATCCTCTTATTCTCTAACGCTAGGATATTCGATAGACTCACTGAGACTTAACCTTTAGGATCACCAACCCAACAGGTTGGAAATGTCAGAAAAAAGGTTAGAACGTGCGCTACCACGGGCGTGTTAGACCGTTCTATGGCAACCTACTACAGGCAATCGTGTTGCCTGTTTTCTTGATAGATCCTACGTACGGCGGAAGATCGAAGCGTGTGAGAATCGGGCTAGTCGAACTCACTTAACTAGGATAAACTCTGTCGAAATCGTTACTATAATATATGTACGTACGGTATCAATACAATGTAGAGGAGAGTTGCCAATTGCCTACTGCTCTCTTAAATCGTATCTTTCATTTTTTTCTTATTGCTGGATCTAAATAACAAATATGTATAATAGTAAATATCTAATAATATATATATATATATATATATATATATATATTTCTGTTTACGCGATTTAATTTTACACGATCAATAAATATCAATAAATTCTTCTCTAATCTTTATTGAGTTTATGTCTCCCGACATAATTGACAATACTAAAAGAGTTTTCCAATAAGTGCTTTATGACTTTTAACCAATTAAAAGGAAAAAGTTTATTGCTTTGAGATATGGTACTACCGACAACGACAACAAATAAAATTTATTTTACTTTTTTCTTTTGATAATTTTATTTATCTTCCTAGGAATCTGCGTGAAATAAATCATTTTATAACTTATACTGAATTTTCTCTGTAATATTTTTTGCTTTTCGTAATTGTCCAGACTTCATTTACGCGATTTTTATCTGCATAAAAAGAACATTTCGCATAAATCGAGGGCCGGATGTATATAATTTCGCTTTACATTTTTATGATTTTTTACAAATGATATTTTTATTTATTGTAAAATTTTTAGTATTTATTAATGTATATATATGACGATTATAAGAAAAATGAAATCAATTTATATAGAATATATTTTATTCGAACGAATAATAACCGTACCTTTTTTTACGATGTACGAAGTATTCTCGTTTTGCACGTGTCGTCGTTTCAAGGTCCCCACGCGAAGATCTACCGTAGAAGGATAGAAAGTCCACCGTACATGGCTGTGATCGCGATCGTAGATTTATGCAAGACATCGAAAGAGAAGAGGCGTTCCCTTCGAAGCTAACTTCGAAGGAGAGAAGTTACGTGGCACCGACCACGCCACGTTATCGCACGATCCTCGTTAAGTTTGAAGTAGCTTGAAAAAGGAAGGAGAAGGGAGAGAAGGGGAGGTTAGGGAAAGAGAAGGCTTATAAGTTGCAGCATGTGTTTTCACTTTTCGTATCGTTGGTCGTGCTGCACCTGCGGTGCGATAATTGGCCCGTGAATTCTTCCTTCGAATGCGTTATTGGTCTCGTGACAACGTCGCAGTTAACGTTTTCTCTCTCTCTCATTCTCATTTTTTATTTTTCTCAAAAATTTCCTTCGAAGTTCAAGTGGATAATCAATCGGAAGTTTCTCTCAAAAAAGGGAGAGAGAGAGAGAGAGAAGAGACAACGAATAGAGTAAATCAAACAATTGTTTCTATGATACATCATCGGATGTTCGTGAGTCACGATTTTATATGAGTATCGTTACGAAATCTCTTTAGTTTTTCATTGAAAATTAATGTCAGCTAAATTAGCTTTGTGTGTTTTCTGATTGTAATTTCCTCTTTCATTTATCTCATGTATATACCTTGATCTTAAAACGTTGTACTATTAATATCTAGATTAATGTCTAGTTATCTTTTCTTTCTTCTTAAGAGGAGATAAACAGCTATAGTATTCTCTTCTTTTTTATCGTTTTTTAGCATAAAAAAAAATAGATTGATATGTCTGGACGACAAGTACCCAAGTACTTATTTACTTACTTACTTACTTACTTACTTACTTATGGTATCGCTTAACACGTGCTCCGGATGACGACCTAATAAGAAATATAGTCGAGGAAGAAAACGATATCTTCTATATATCGAGTTATATCTCTTGACACGAAGAAGATACGATATAAGTCGCGCCATATTGATAGCACTCTGATTCAACCGCGAATGTCACGGTCGTTTAGAAAATAATCTCGAAGAATGACTAATCTTTATAACAATATTTTTCTATCGAAGTTGATATATTTTTATAGTTATGCGTATATGTACATGTTAGAAACATTTATCCAATACGATTTTTATTCGCAGAATGACTAAAAGTTCTTAGATTCGTAATATCAAAATCTAAAGAAGAAAAATGAAAGGAAAATGTTTGGAATAGGATAATTGATTTTTAAAATCACTTAGGAACTTTTGATCCATCTTTTATTACATAGATTATATTGATTATAACTTATATTTATAAAACATGAATTGACTATTTGTAATATGAATGAACTATTTATTATGTGGGAGAAATAAAATGTTAAATGTAAAGATATCTATATGAGTATTTGAAGTTACATGATATTATATAGGTAATAACTTTCATGATATAGAGGTAGATATTATTAAGGTTCGAAGATTATAGCATTTTATCGATCGTTATGAAAATCTCACTTGTGAAAATCTTTAACAAGTAAATGTAAACGCGTGCATTCTCTTTGAACAACCTTCCGTAAGGTGTAAACGTCCTCCGTAAATACGCTCTAAGACTCGTTTGGCGGCTCGTTAAGAAACAGGGTCAATCGCATGCTATCGTGACTAATTCTAAGCGGGTTTACGATTGATAGCGCTAATACGTTTGTCGGCTGATTAGAATTCCACACGGAGACAAGTGTTTCTTAAGAGAGATCGAACTAGTATCGTTTCGTATATACAATTACAAGGACGTCTCCAAGTGGGAAAGATCACGAATGCAGAAAAACAAGCTGAGTAATAAATTATATTCAAGCGGCAACTTCGATCATTAATCAAATTGTCAGTGATTTTTAATCTTTAATCTTTAAGAAGCCACATCGTGCTTCGCGAATAAGACGAATAATAAAACCGTGTAAGAACTCGTTTCACAAAGGATTAATTAAAAGAGTTATAGATCGTGCTATAAAGTGAAATATATATAATAAAAAAGAGAAAGAAAAGAGAAAGAAAGAAAGGAAAAAAAAGAAAAAAAGAACGCAAAGAGTGAGAAAGTTCAACGAGATATAAATTCGGTGTTTATTAATGTGTAATAATATAAGAAACGATTCCGAGGAGAAAAAAATTGTTTCGATGGTTTCTCTAAAAGACTATGGATCTTCTCGTTCGTACTCGAACAAAATTCATTACATAAAAGTTTGAGGATCGTCCGAGTGTACATCGTTCTGGTTAAGACTTAGGAAGATG